AGCCAATCTTGTCTTCAGAGTTCTTGCACCTACAGAAGCAAAGAGGAATTATTTCCAGGTAATGACTTTTTTTTTTTTTTAAATTAAAAAGAGCACGCTACCAGCTACAGGGAAAACTCATTTCCTTGTATCTCTGTCCCTCCTTCATTTGCACAGAAACCGGATCCATGTTTCTGAAGAGGTCCCCTGAATCTGCTACTTATTCCCCTCACTGTCTGGGACTTTACATATGGTTGCCTTGGAAACCATTAGAACATCAGTTTTCCCCCAAATCAGACTTCAGCTGCAGGTGTTTGTTTCATTAGTCTGCTCAGGGCATGTGTGTAATCAGGGTAGATCAGGTGAAACACGGACTGAACATGCGGTTCATCACAGCAGACCCCTCCTAGTCCTAAAAGTGGCAATGTGGTTGCCCCTCCCACACACAAACCACCACTCAGGACTATGAGACCTCAAGTGGTTGAGAATTTTAACTGCTTCCTCACCCAACTTACTCACATTGCAACATGGACTCCTTGGCTTCCCAACTTCCCCTGCAAGACAGATAAAATCCCTGCATGCATAAACAGGGGAGTAGCCAGTAGAAGCAGGGAGGTGATTTTACCCCTGTATATGGCACTGGTGAGTCTGATACTGGAATACCACATCCAGTTCTGGTGTCCAGATTTTAAAAAGGATATTGAAAAAAATGGAGAGGGTTCAGAAATGAACCATAAAAGTGATTCAAGGGCTGGAGAAAATGCCTGATAGTGAGAGACTTAAGAAGTTCAATCTGTTTAGTTTAAATCAAGAAAAGGAAGCTTGAGAGAGGTGACCTGATTACAGTGTACAAGTACCTTCACGGGGAGAAAACACAGGGTCCTATAGGTCTCTTTAATCTAGTGGAGAAAGGCAGAACAAGAACCAATGGCTGGAAGTTAAAGCCAGGCACGTTCAAATTAGAAATAATGCACACGTTTCTAACAGTGAGGGTGATTGAACAAACTCCCAAGGGATGGTGGATTCTCCATTCCTTGCTGTCTTCCAATCCAGACTGAATTCTCTGGTCGGTATTAAACTGGAGATCAGACTAGGCAATCTAATGGTTCCTTCTGGCCTACGAAGATCTGGCTTTTCAATACGGACATACGAGTAGCTGCTAAGGGCACAGCAGTTACAGACGAGGAAATGACACAGTGAAGTTACCTGGAGACACTGTGAGGCGAGAGCTAGTGCAGGGAACTATTTTAAAGGACCATGCGGGGAGAGTGGGGAGAACGGCTGAGTTTTAGAAAGGGGAAGGAGTCAGGGAGTCATAGTGGGGGTTACTAGGTGACGTTCTATGCCCCACACAATGCAGGAAGTCAGACTAGATGGCCATAATGGTCCCTCCTGGCCTTAAACCTTGACCCCATCTACTATGGGAAATGCCCAGATTTCACTGCAGGCCTGAAATGGAAGCCACACAGGGAGTTAATGCTTCTCTCCTTCTTTGATGTAGTGGGGTCTGCTCAGGGCACATGTGGCATCAGGGTGGATCAGGTGAAAGATGGTCTGAACATACAGTTCATCATGGCAGACCCCACCCACACCCTCAAACCCAGCTGCGACATCACCAATGGCAAAGACCAGAGGGGTCTCCTGGTCTGGGAAGAAACTTCTTGTAGGCTGGGTCTCCCCTCCACACCAAGCCTCAAGATAGTCCCCATGCATCCAATTATGGGCTGTCTCATACAGTAGCACACTTCCCCCAATACCAAGTGTCTGTCCAAGGAGCGCTCATTGTGCCACAAGAGCGAGGATCTTATCCCTAATATTTCTGGAGTCTGAGACACAGGAACATAGGTCTTGCCATGGAAAGTGAAGGATTAAAAAGTGCCTCAAGCACAGGGACAGTTGTGTGGTTACGGTTCTGGACTGGGACATCTGGGATCAGTTCTCAGCTCTGCCACAGACTCCCTGGGTGACCTCAAGCAAATCCTTTTAAATCTCAGATTTGGGTACCTAACTCCACTGGGCTCCTTTGAAAATCTCAGGCTTCAGCTCTCTGTACCTCGGTTCCCCATCTGCAATGCTGCTACTTCCTGTTTTCCATCCTTTATAACCTAAGTAGACAAAGTCAACAAAAATCTTTGGGACAGGGATGGCCTCTAATGAAGTGTCTGTACAAACCTTAGCACAGTAGGGCCTCGAGGCTACAGTGTAATACAACTAATAATAAAACAGTGGATGGGCCCATCAAGTCAAGCATCCTGCCTCTAGCAACACATCCCTGGCTACTTCCTAACAGATCAGAGCAAGCCCTGAAAGCACAGGAGCTGATTATCTTCATCTCAGCTCAGGTAAGCCATAAAACCACTCAGTCCCTTTTCTTTAAGGCCCTACTCAGTTGGAGGCCCTTACCCTACTGTCCTTGGGGCTCAGGTCCAGGATGTTTCATTACAGACCATTTTCAAGATTCATTGACAGTACTTCATTTTTCCCACTTCAGCCCTGATCATTTCATGGGGGTGGGGAGTCAGTCTTCATCCTCCAGCCTCTCCACAATCTGAAACAGGCAAAGAAACATTCATAAGACTAGAGTGTGACCAACACAGCTTCTTCCTCTCCCCTACTTCCTCTCCTGTTGCAGCTACACCAGAGATCAGAGTTGCCACTGGACTCATCTAAACCTAATTCCCAGCACACCACAGCCCAGTTCTACCAGAGCATAGCTAGGCAGAAAGAGATAACACTATACATGGAGGGGAAGACAGCAGGAGTAAAAGGAAGTCACTTCTGGGGTGGAGGGAGGCAGCGAGAGCAAAGTGCGACAGGAGAAGGGAGGGGAATATTTTAGCGGACATCTGGGTAAACTCCCTCCTGATGCTTACAAAAAGATCACATTGCCCTTTTAACATCCACAGTGAGCAGACAGGATCTCAAATTTTGTTAAGGCCTCAAGCAAAAGACAGAACAGCTTCAGACAAAAAGCATTAATTTATCTGCAGTGGCAGGAGGAAGAGATGAACCAGTCCTGGACAATGAGGACTTAAAATCTGAAGGCCTCAAGACATGTGAAGCCACAAGTCACTCCTACTACACTCCATTGTCACAGCTGAAAGTTGGATTGGTCAACACAGCTGGTAACAGATACTTCAATCAAGTCAGAGTTGAAAAACATCTGCTACATTACAAAGGCCAAAGCTGAAGGTTTGACATGCCTCAGCCTGCACTATTTGGGGGAAGGGAGATAGATCAGGGCAGGATTAGGCCTGCCAGACCACCTAACAGGAATACTCTGGAGTCCTCTCTCCAGGTTGGAAATTTTAGGTCTTGCTAAAGCACTTAAAGAGAGGTAGCCAAATAGAACCCAGAAGTCCTGACTCCCAGTCCCCCTTCTCTACAACTAGACTTGATTCCCCTTGCTCTAACCACTAGTCCACACTCCCCCAGAGTTGGGAATAGAACCTAGGAGTACTAACTCCTAGCCCCCCTGTTCTAACCCATTATAGTTGCCCCTAGATTTTGACAGTTTTGCTGTTATGTAATGTTTAACCCCCTGGGCAGGGATTCTCTGTTCCTCTGTAAGAAGCCAATCTCATACCAGCTCACTGAGCCCCATATCTGGAACGTGGCATTTCTCCAAAGCAACTGTTTCCTCCCAGCCCATCAGTTCCATTTTCAGTCTAAAATGAAGAGATACAAACATTGGTTTAGGATACACAGACCAAAACCTGGCAACCAGACCACATCCAACCCTGCCATAGCTATGTCAGAAAATTGGTGTTTAAAGGTTACACTAGAGACAGGATTGTAAAAGCCTCCACAGCAGGATGTTCCCACCTTTAGGGGTCACCAATAATGCAGAAGCTACACCCACTAAAATTAATACAGTTATAAGGGTTTGTCTTTCTCTAGCTCCTTTCTTCCAAAAGTCTCCAGAGGCTTTCAGAGAAGTCTAAGGGAATTAGGCACCTTACTTATCCCCTTAGGCTCCTCTAACAATCCCAGCCCAAGTGCTTTACAAATATTAAGCCTCATCCACCCTGTGAAGTCAATATCATCTCCACTGTATAACTGAGGAAACTGAGGCACAGAGTGGCAAATCGCTTGCCCAAGGTCACACAGCGAGAGACAGAGCCATGAATAGAACCAAATGAAGGTCAATCTCAATTCACTCTTCTCTAATCAGTAAACTCCACCTCCTCCCAGCACCAGAAACAGAGCTCCCATTATCAACTATCTGAGCACCTCACAATTTCTTCCTGGTGATGTAGGGCATTGCTATTATCCACATTTTACAGATTTGGAATTGAGGCAGAGGGCCAGTTTTTTTAAATGTCTGTGGGCACCTAAAGAGGCAGATTGAAATCAGTAGGGGTTAGGCACCATGGCACTTCTGAACATCTCACTGTGCATCTATCTGTATCTTTAGATGCCCAAGTACCTATACAAATCTGATCCAGAGAGACTAAAACTTGCACAAGGTCGCACAAGAAGTTTGTGGTAGAGCAGGAAATTAAGCCCATGTCTCTCAAGTCCCAGGCTAGCACCCTAATTGCTGGTTCATTCTTCCTCTCAGCCAAAAGGCTTTAAATCTCAGCTCTCCCTGATTTACTTTGGGACTTTTAAAACTAGACTGAACAAAGTGATAGAAAGCAGACTGTAGGGAACAATCCTGCACTAACCCCAAGAAGACAGGCCTGTTAGGCCACACATTCTATGTAGCTCTAACCTTCTGTGTTAGAATAATCCTTAACTGAACCCATTACTGCCCTGAATCAGCCTCCAGACTTTATCCCACTGCTTCATTTGCAGATCCAACTCCCAGAGCAGGACAGAGAACCTTTCTATTAAAGCCCGGCTGCTTGCAGCCTATGGCGTTTGCATTCTGTATCTGAAATCCTTTGAGGCTTCATAGATACTGGGCTCTTGGGTATCTTTCTGGCCTGCATAAAAGTTGTTGGTTTTCTTTATTGTTGTAGGTGCAAGGAGTAGGTGCTACAGATCAGGTAAAAGTTGCAGTCTGGGATCACTCACAGGTTATGAAGTACCCAACCACTAGTAGCTAATAAGGGATCAAAAACAATAATATTTGATAATATGCTCTTTTTCTAGGAACTCCCATCCAAAGATTTGAGTGTTTTATAATCATGAATGAATCAAGCCTCACATGCTTCCTATGAAGTATTATTCACATTGTACAGGTGAGGAAACTGAGGTACAGAGGGGCAAGGGCAAAGTGCTCAAGGTCACCCCTGGGACAGCGTCAGAGCCAATAGTCAGGAGTCCTGACTCCCAGTCCACCCACCATTAGACCCCACTACCCTCCCAGGGCTGAGGTAGAACCCAGGAGTCTTGACTCCCAGCCCACCCACCCCCATCATGAAACTGCATTTTTTAAAGGGGGTCTGGATGGCACGTGGGGTTCAGCAAAGGCACTATACAAGTAGATGGAAGTTTTACCACTGGAGTCAGACGGGGCTCAGGACAGCCTCTGAATTCCACCCTGTGTTTCAAAGCCAGCAGAGCTCGCTCAACTTTCTTCTCCTGTAATTAAGCTTCCATTTATTTACTTCAGTGGTGCAGCATGCAGTTCCAGCCGCAAATTATAAAGTGGGGAGAATAGCCAAACCAAAACTGAGGCCTGGAGTCACCTTCAACTCCCACGCTTTCCCCCAACACGTGGGCCACACACAGCGTGGGCAATTTCACCATTACCAGTGTTCAAAAATGCTGCTGCTAAGTCAAACCCACTGCCAGCTCACTCCACACCCCTGAAGAGACTGCTAGAACACACAGCAAAAGGCACCGTGCTAACCCAGCCTCCCTCCGCAGCAGGGACATTCTTTGTTTAACTTTCACCAGCTCACCCACCACGTGGTTTTTCCTCTTAAAAACAGATCTGTACATAAAACACCTACTGCTGTTTATGATGGTTTGCCTACGACAGGAGGAGTGGATCTCTGGGCTTTGCTCTCCCTTCCAGAGCTGGGAGTAGAATCTACTGGATTAAAAGGCAGAATTAAGCGTCAGAACTCCTGCGTTAGCTTCCGAACTCTGCAGCACACTCCCTATGTGCCCTGAAACAAGTCACCAAATCATACAGGGGCGGGGAGAAGAGAGGAGTAGGAGAGAGATAACGAACTCATTTTACAGCATGTGTGACTTCATGCAGACCTGAAGAGGAACACTGCAGACACATAGTAATTTATTAAAACACAGGGACAAATCTTGACGTCTGTTTCACCCAGGGACTGCAAAGTCAATGGGGATTTCAGGGGTGTCGCTGAAGATCGCACAGTTTTAACAGACCACTTTCCCACTAATCCCCTGCCTTTGGCCCTACGTAAAGCGGTGGCCTATGGATTCTGAATTCAACCCTAAGGCCAAACTCAATCCATGGGAAAGCCTTTCTCCACCACATACAGTTTAACTACATTTATTCTAATCCTAACACATGGGTGGATGGCAAAAATTAAACTCAGAATGGCAAAGGATTCAAACCGAGCTAGAGATCTTGCCACTTACCAAGCACGCTGGTCTGGGAGTACAGGAACAGGATTCGTACAGGAAGCATGGTGATGATGAAAGAGAGAAAAATGAGAGGAAGTGGTAGGTGGGACAGAGAAGAGAGCAGCTTTGCAATTGGCTGAGAGCATAAACCTGTCAGTCTCTCATTTCCTTGAATCAAAAAGGCGAGATGCTGAAACATTAATCTGTTGAGGCTTCAAACCATGTGGCTACAGACCTTTACAGAGCTGTGTTAGGAAAAATTGTGTGACGGAAATCTGTGGTTTTCTGTGAAATCTCTCAAAAAGATTTTTCACTCTGTATTAGAGAATGCAATCTTGGGTCAAAATTTTAAAAGCTAGGCTGGAGTTTTTAGAGGAACTGTCCAGAAATCCTGATGTAGGGTAGGGTCTAAATGGAGCTGATATTCAAAAGTGCTGAATAACCCTTCTCAACATTTCTGAAAGTTTATTTAGGAGGCAAAATCAGGGTGTAGGAATCAAAATTTAGGCTTCTGGTTTTGAAAAATTTAGCCCTGGAATTTTGGGGTCATTTTGATCCCCAAACCCTTTACAAATAGTGTAATATCAATAAAAAATATTTCACATTTACATAGCATTTGGGATTTTCCTCATTCTGAAGTCCCAGGACTGGAAAATACCGAAGGATACTGGCAATAGAGAGCCAAATTTCAAAAGTAGCTAGGCACCTAACTCCCATAGGGTTAGGCACCTAATTTGCTTAAATGCCTTTGACAATCCTAATATATATCCAGATTCAGAGTCAACAAAAGCTGTGGGAGGGATCTGCAATGCAGGACGTCGATAACGTGGGTAATATAAATGTGGGAAATCTTGGCAAAATCTGCAAAGGAAAATAATAAAATCCCTTGTGTACAATGTTTCCTACCAGACTGCTCTCTCAATTACACTGACGTAACCCCATTATCTTCAGTGGAGTTGCTCCAGGTTTAAACTGGTGTATTTCACAATAGAATTTTCCTCTCTGTCTGTAGTACAAAGGTAAGTATCATTGTTGCCATTTTATGGGTGGAGAAACAGGCACAGAAAGAGATGAAGGCCCAGATCCTCAAAGGTATCGAGGCATATAACTCCCACCGGGAATTAAGCACCTAAATATCTGTGAGATCTGGGCCCAAATGACTTGTCTGAGTCACTGGCCAAGATGAGAATAGAACGCAGGAGTCGTGATTCCTGTTCCCATTGTAACCACCCACTCACTCACCTCCTAGAGCCCAGTATATAACCCAGAGGTCCTGACTTCCATGTTCTCCTTTTCTGACCACTAAATTAGCTTTTCCTCCCAAAACTGGGAATAAAACCTTGGAGTCTGGACTTTCAACTTCCCTCACATACTTTGCAGTGAAGCCAGAGGCAAAGAATTGATTTAGCTTCTCTGCAATGGCCTTATCTTCCTTGAGTGCTCCTTTAACACCTCGATCGTCCAGTGGCCCCACTGATTGTTTGGCAGGCTTCCTGCTTTGCATGTACTCAAAAATTTGTTAGTTTTTGAGTCTTTGGCTAGTTTCTCTTAAATTTCTTTTTTGGACTGCCTAATTAAACTTTTACAGTTGACCTGCCAGAGTTTATGCTCCTTTCTATTTTCCTCAGTAGAATTTAACTTCCAATTTTTAAAAGATGTCTTTATGACTCTAACTGCTTTTATTTTATTGTTTAGCCATGGTGGCACTTTGTTGGTCCCCTTACTGTGTTTTTTAATTTGGGATATACATTTAATTTGAGCATCTATCATGATGTTTTTAAAAAGTTCCCATGCAGCTTGCAGACATTTTATTTTTGTGACTGTACCTTTTAATTTCCATTTAACTAGCTTCCTCATTTTTGTGTAGTTTCCCTTTCTGAAGTTAAATGCTACTGTGGTGGGTTTCTTTGGTGTTGTTTCCGCCCCCCAGGATGTTACATTTAATTATATTATGGTCACTATTACCGAGTGATTCAGCTATATTCACCTCCTGGACCAGATCTTGTGCTTCACTTTGGACTAAATCAAGAATTGCTTCTCCTCTTGTGGGTTCCAGGACTAGCTGCTCCAAGAAGCAGTTATTCATGGTGTCTAGAAACTTAATCTCAGTATCTTGTCCTGAGGTGACATGTACCCAGTCAATATGGGGATAGTTGAAATCCCCCATTACTATTGAATTTTATATTTCTATAGCCTCTCTAATCTCTCTGAGCATTTCACAATCACCATCACGGTCAGGTGATTGGTAGTATATTCCTACTGCTATATTTTTATTATTCAAGCATGGAAATTCTATCTATAGATATTCTATGGTACAGTTTGATTCATTTAAGATTTTTACTATATTTGACTCTGCTTTCTTTCACATATAGTGCCACTCCCCCACTAGCATGACCTACTCTGTCATTCCAACATATTTTGTATCCTGGTATTACCATGTTCCATTTATTATCATTTCACCAAGTTTCTGTGACGCCTATTATATCAATAACCTCATTTAATACCAGGCACTCAAGTTCACCCATCTTAGTATTTAGACTTCTAGCATTTGTATACAAGCACTTATAAAAATTTGTCACTTTTTAGCTGTCTGCCATTCTGTGATGTAATTGAATGGGAGTCTTTCATTTGACTGTTTCTCTTCAGTTCCTACCTGTACTTTATCAACTTCCATCCTCACCTCCTTACTAGGATATAGAGAATCCCCGTTAATAGAGTCTCCCGTAAAGGATGCCTCTGTCCAAACTGTGTGCTCCTCCGTACCCATCGGCTTTCTCCCAGCCCTTAGCCTGAAATCTCTACAACCTTTTCAACCTTACATGCCAGCAATCTAGTTTTGCGTTGGTCCAGGTGGAGCCCATCCCTCCCACATAGCTCCTCCTTTCCCAAAAGGTTCCCAGTTCTTAACAAACCCAAACCCTTCTTTCCTATACCATCATCTCATCCACACATTGAAACCCCACAGCTCCACCCGTCCAACTGGCCCTGTGCGTGGAACCGGAAGCATCCCAGAGAATGCTACTGTGGAGGTCCTGGACTCCAATCTATCTTATCATCCAGGCAAGCTGGACTTAGTGATAGTTGGTTGCCATACACCAAAGATCACAAAAGATTCAAGTTGCTTTCAGTCACAAAAGACCAGTCACTTACCCCAGGTCAATTTGTACCTCAGATCTCACACCAAAAATAATCCTTGTAGCCAATCTTATAGTAAACCAACTAAGGATTTATTAACTCGGAAATACCAGAGTTATTTATAGATTAAAGCAGGCAACATATATACACAAATGAGTTACAGTCTATGGTTCTATAGTGGGTTAGTGGAGGCCCCTCTCACTCTAGTTCAGTGGGAGGCCACTCTGCCTCACTACATCTCTGTATTTGAAGTTAAGTGGCAAGGGAATTAGCCAGTCAACTGTCTATGTCTCGGGTGGGACTGAGCAATCAGCAGTCCCGGGAGGCTCTGGCCCTTGGGCGGGACTGGTAAACACAGGCCTCCTGGCCTATGGCAGGGAAACTGCTACCCCGGGGTGAAGGGGTAGGGGGACCCAGGCCCACCCTACTCCACTAGGTTCCAGCCCAAGGCCGTAGCAGTGGTGGAGGGTTCCGCCACTGGGTCAGCAGGGATCCGGCCCCAACACGCTGACTGGGGTTCAGGCAGCAAACGCAGCCGGACTGGAGTCGGCTGTCCCAGGGCCACTTCCAATCCTTCCCTCGGGGTGTACCTGCCTCCGTGGGGGTCCTCCATCAGCCTGGCGTAGATAGCCAGCGGCAGCCCCAGCCACTCTCTGGGATTTTCGTCTGTCGGCAGCGTCCGCTATTCGGGCCAGTCCTCAGCACGGCAAGGGTCCCCCTTGGGCTTCAGCTCTGGGAGCAGGCGGGAGGCGTCTGTCTCCTCCAGCTACAGGGTGCTCCCTTTATACTTCCTGTCCCACCCCTTGACTTCTGGTGGGCGGGACGAACTGGCCTTGGCTCCGCCCACCCTGGCCCAGTGTGAGACCCCTCCCACTCTGTCTCAGTGGGAGGCCACTCCGCCTCATCACAGGTTCCAAAAGGTGACACGGTTGTAGTAATCTGTCAGCACTGAATGTCTTTTAGGGCTAATCCAGATTGAACCTGGGGATCTCTGCTTCTGTTTCCTAGCTCCAGCCCTGTGAGAATATAAACAGCAAAGAGAGATATAAAATTTTCTTCTGTGCCTGTTTTATCCCCTTCTTCCAGCATTCAC